AAAAAAAAAAAAAAAAAAAAAAAAAAAAAAAAAAAAAAAAAAATCCACCAACCTCCTACCATTCATTCCTGTCATCAGCCTTTACCACTGCCTCTTGAACCTCTCTGGGATCTGTTAACAGGGAAAACTGATTTACTCCCTGTGCTAATGGCTCGTATATTTTTGCTTATTTTGGATTACAAGGCTGCATTCTGATTTTTCCCTTAACATAATTCTATTTGTTCAAACCTTCAGGAATTCCTCATATTTGCTTATGACTTTACCCTGTGTTTCACCACTACTATGGACTTTTTCTAATATTCACATTCTCTCCTTGCAGTGGGATTTTGGTAGGGAGAATGGACTTTGGTGGTCAGTGTTTGCATGTAGTCTGCCATCATGAACTATAAATTGTAGTTTTAGTATTACTGAATATTTCAGAATTTTGAGTGACACTGAATTTAATTAGACAATATAGGGTTTGGAATTAAATATATGGATGTTCTGCCACTTATATTTGAGTTATTTTGAGCAAGTTTCTTAACTAAAGTATTGATTTTTTTCATATGCCAGATAAAAATAATGGGAATAATCTTACGTCTCATAGGTCTGTTACATGTATTATTTGAGATAGTATGTGTAAAGTTCTTAGACAGAATCCGGTACACAGTGAGTGTTCAATAAATGTTATTTGTTAGGTTATGAATATTCAAAGTAGTTATTTAAAAAACAAATCAACTCAACACAGTATTCCTCGCTAAAAAAAGAATAAAGTTTAAAAAAAAAAAACAAATCAAGTAGCCTTTTTTTGGAAAATCTTTTTAAGGAGAGTTTAATAAACATGCTAAGTGGCTGGCTTAAATGGTATCAAAACTCAACACATCCTTGTCTCTAAATGTAGCTAAGAGTTATGTGGAAATAGTAAATCTATCCTTTCATATATCACTCTTAGGATTGGTTTGATAATTATATTTTAATTTTATTACTTATAAAATTTATTATGTATTGATTGATGTATTAACATAAATTCTTCTTGATTAGTTTTCAAAATATTTTTCTTAAATTTTTCCTGTGCTAATTCAAATGTTAACATGCTAATTCAGGATATATTGCTATTTGTATTCTGATACTGTGTTAATGTTTATACCTGGAAGAGTAAAATATTTGTTTCTTTTTACAGCAGAATGGCCAAAGACTATGACAGGTCTTCCCAGCACATCAGGGACAACTGCCAGTGTAGTCATCATACGGGGCATGAAGATGTATGTAGCTCACGTAGGTGACTCAGGAGTGGTTCTTGGAATTCAGGATGACCCGAAGGATGGTTTTGTCAGAGCTGTGGAGGTGACCCAGGACCATAAGCCAGAACTTCCCAAGGAAAGAGAACGAATTGAAGGACTTGGTGGAAGGTAATTATTCTGCTGTTTTCTCTTTTCCTCTCTTCTATTTTGTGCTTTGCTAGCCAAATTGAAGCATTTTTCTTAGTACATATTATGGGTTTTCTAGTTTGCCTGATATAGTACTCATGTGCATTAGTATTTACCACATTATTTTGAATTGACTGTTTTACTTCTGATAATGGCTCCAAAGGGGAATATTACTTCAGTGGGCCTCAAGGAACAATACACACAAAGTTTTAGCGAAAACCTTTATACAAATACTGATGGGCATGATCTTCACAATTTGAACAGAGCAGCCCATAGAATTCTAGAGTAGAACAGTTTGAATCTGACTTGGGGAAAAGAGTTAAATTAGAATTAACCTTCAGGGGTCGGCCTGTGGCTCACTCGGGAGAGTGTGGTGCTGATAACACCAAGGCCAAGGGTTTGGGTCCCCTTACTGGTAATCTTTAAAACAAAAAAGAATTAACCTTCAGCTTTTTTCTTTGATTTCATATTTCCTGCAAACTTTTCCAATTATATTCTTTGTTTCAACTTAGTATCTCAATGTGTAGGTAGTTTGTAAACTAGGAACTAAAATTGATTTCCTCATACTATTTTTGTGATTCAAACTAAAATAAAAGATTATTCTAAAAATTAGGAGAATAATGACATAATGAGAAAAAATTTAAATTATCGTAATACTAATTTTTTTAAAATTGAAGGTCTGAGGCAAATTAAGTAAAATCCAGTGTTTTTAAAGTAATTATTTTAACTAAAGCCTTCCCATGATATTATTACTTGCCTCCTCTTTCTTGCTTTTATTAAATAAAAATTGGTCTTTTTCAGAGAAATGACAAATTGAGGAAAATAATTAACATCCTTAAACTATAAGGACTTCAACAAATCAGTAAAGTACCAAAGCACTGCTGCCACCACTGCTGGATAGGTGGATAAAGGAGAGGAGTTTGAACAACAACAACAAAATGCCAAAGAGTAGTAAACATTTGAAAAAAATGTTTAACATTATTGAAATGAAACTCCATTCCCTGCTATTGGATTAGGAAAGATTAAAAAACCAAATAAATCTCATTATTTTTGTTGAAATGGGTACCCTCTTGGTAGGATTATAAATTGGTATCACCTGTGTGGAAAATTATACATACTGATAGCTTTAAATTTTTATTAAGTCAGTAATTTCAGGAATCTACTATAAGAAATCTGAAATGTGGACAAAAATATCTGAACAGAGTTATTGATTGCAGCATTGTTTAATGACTGTTAAAGGCTGGAAATAACTTAAGGCTCAACAGCTAGAGAACAGTTAAGTATATTTAGTACATATTCGTAACATTGAATATGATGTAGCCATTAAAAATAGTGTTTATAGATATTTTTTTTTTTTTTTGTCTTTTGTCTTTTGTCTTTTTTCCGTGTCCGGCAACGGATCGCAACCCTCAGTGTTGCCCCCGTACCGGACCGGGGACCGGCAACGGGATCGCAAGCCTCGGTGTTGCTCCCGCGCCTCGCTCAGCCAGTGAGCGGGAGCCGGTCTGTATGTGGGATCCGAACCCTCGGACGGGAGCGCCGCCGTGCTTCCCAAGCGGCGCACTATCCAGTGCGCCACCGGGCCGGCCCTATAGATAAATTTTTTTAAAATTGTGTTGAGGGGCCAGCCTGTGGCTCACTTAGGAGAGTGCGGTGCTGATAACACCAAGGCCATGGGTTCAGATCCCATATAGGGATGGCCAGTTGCTCACTGGGTGAGCATGGTGCTGACAACACAAAGTCAAGGGTAAAGATCCCCTTACTGGTCATCTTTAAAAAAAAAAAAAAAAAAATTGTGTTCAGAAATTTCAAGCATAAGATAAAGAAAGTAGTATAATGAGTTCTCATATACATGGGGAATTTTTAATGATGTAGGAAAATGCTTATTGGTCACAGAAAAGCTGGATGTAAAATTATATTTGTAATGTTATTTCAGCTGTGCAGAAACATAAAAATAGGATAAAATATACCAAATGTTAACAATATTCTGAGTGAAGAGACTGTTTTTTTGTTTTTTTGTTTTTAGTGGCTGGCTGGTAGGGGGATCCATATCCTTGACCTTGGTGGTGTGTGTTAGCAGCACACTCTCCCAAGTGAGCTAATTGCCTAGCCCTCTTCCCTCTTTTTTTAATGGTAACATTCATTTGGTTAAAATTTAGGTAGCATAAAAGTAGGCCATACTACGAAATGTCACTCAACTACTACTGTCCCACAGGCCACTGGTTCCCTTCCTCTTACAGGCAACCACTATTACCGTGTGTCCTTTAATAGAAAAATATTCACATACAATCAAATTTAACAGGAAGCTGAACCATGTACAGATGTACCATCATTTATTTAATTAGTCTCCTGTTGAAGGATATTTGTTTCTAATTTTTTCCTTATTACAAACACTGCTGTAAAATGAAAAATCCTGCACATGCATCTTTTTGTATACATACCTGTATGTATATTTCTAGGATCATTTCCTAGAAGTAAAATTGCTGGGTCAAAGAAGAGTGTCTTGTGAATGTTGATAACTGTTTGTCAGTATAGAGGTTGTACCAATTTATACTTCTACCAGAAGTGTAGATAGATGTCCTTGGCAAGACAGTTATAGAATTTTTTGATCATATCCAATTTCAGGTTTTAAAAAAAAGGGCCAGCCCGGTGGCGCACTGCTACAGTGCGCCGCTTGGGAGCGCAGCGGCGCTCCCGCTGAGGGTTCGGATCCCACATACAGACCGGCCGCTCACTGGCTGAGCAAGGTGCGGGCGTAACACTGAGGGTTGTGATCCCGTTGCTGGTCCCGGTCCGGTACGGGCGCGACACTGAGGGTTGTGATCCGTTGCCGGTCACGAAAAAAGACAAAAAGGAAAAAAACAAATAAAAAAAAAATAAAAAAATAAAAAAAAAGGCATCTCAGTGATGTTTTAACTGAACTTATGAGAAAGGTTGTATATCTTTTTATATGTTTAAGGGCCATTTATATTTCTTTTCCTGTGTATATAAATTCTTTGTTCATATTGGGGGAATGTTGTTAGCCTTTTCTGCACATTAATATGTAGGAGCTACCTTTACCTTAGAGAAATGAGCCTAATGGATATGGTGTGAATTTCAGATCCACAGTTTGTCTTTTGTTTGTTCCTGGAATTTTTTTCCACAGGAAGTTTTTTTTAATGTAGTTAAATTTATCAATCTCTTCTGTTACAACTTTTGGGTTTTGTGCCATATATACAAAGTCTTCTATATTTTCTTCTAGTACAGCAGTTATGAATACTTTTGGTCTTGGGAACACTTTGCTTTCTTAAAAATTGAGGACCTGAAAGAGCTTTTTGTTTATGTGGGTTATAGCTCTTGATTTTACCATATTAGAAATTAAAATGGGGATATTTTCAAATATTTAATTCATTTAAAAATAGCAATAATAAGCCATATGTTAACAAAAAGAACATTTTAAATGGGGGTGGGGAGGGAGATATTTTCCAAAACAAACATTTAGTGAGAGGAGTAGCATTGTTTTACATTTTTGCAAGTCTCTTTAATATCTGGCTTTATTAATAGGTGACAGCTAAAGTTTCATAGGTTCTTCTACTTTAATCTGTTTGTGATGTTATTTTGGTAGCAGTAGCTGAATTAAATCTGGTCTTATAATTGGAAAAGGGAAGAGTATTTTAATAGTTGGTCTGTGTATTCTTCTTTGATACTATTTCAAAACTCAAGAAGTGATAGTTTCATTAAGATTATAGTGTGATATCTGAAACTGTATCAATAAGCTTTTCCTATTCTTACATTAAGAGCCACTGGTCTATTAAGAGCCGTTGGTTGAATTATTTTTTTGTTCATACATTTTTTTATTAATACTTTATTTTTTAGAGCCCTTTTAGATTTACAGCAAAATTAATTCCTAGTATAGAATTCCCATATAATCCCTCTCCCCCAACTCCCATATACAGCCTCCCCCGCTATCAACATCCCTATCCAGAATGGTACATTTGTTAGAATTGATGAACCTACATTGACATATTATTATTACTCAAAGTTCATAGTTTACATTAGGGTTCACTCGGGTGTTGTATATTCTATGGCTTTGGCAAATATATAATGACGTGTGTCCACCATTATAGTATTACACAGAGTAGTTTCACTGTCCTAAAAATCTTCTGTGCTATGCCTCTTCATCTGTTACCCCTTACATTTGGCAACCATTGATCTTTTTACTGTCTCTATAGTTTTGCCTTTTCCAGAATGTCATATAGTTGGAATCACAAGGTATGTAGCCCCCGTGAATGATTTTATAACATGAATTTGTCGTTTGGAAAATATTGGTTCACCGAGTTATGCAGATATTTCAAATATTACAATATTATACAATATCATACCCAGTCATGCAGCTTTTCACAAACTCCACTGTATACACAAAGTCTTAGTATTATCATGAAAAAATTTTGACTTGGCAGACCCCATAGAAAAAAATCATTTATTTTTAATTTTTAAAAATTATCTTATTTACTACTACTATTTTTTTTTTTTTTTTTACATTATAAGATGTTGTTGTGGAGCAGTTGAGGTGGAAGGGGAGAGAGGAAGGGGGGGAGATAAGGTGGGAGGATAAAGAAAGGGGGGAGGGGGCATGGTCAAGGCCCGTGGCACCCCCCTTCATTCTGGCAGAGGAGCCCAGGGTGCTTCTCGTGGTGGCTCGGTCGTGACTGGACTGGATGGGACATCAGGAGGATGTGGCTAAGGCCCTCAGCACCCTCCCCGCCCCAGCTCGGGAGCCTGGGGCACTTCCAGCAGCGGCCTGGTGGTCGTGGCTGGGCTGGATACAGATGTCAGCGGGATGTGGCTGAGGCCCTCATTCCCCCCACCATCCTGGCTCAGGAGCCGTGGGCATTTCTGGCAGTGGCTTGGTGGTCGTCGCTAGTCTGGATGTGGGTGTCAGGGGACATGGTTGAGGCCCTCAGCTCTCTCCCCACCCTGGCTTGGGAGCCCAGGGTGCTTCT